GTTTCAATATTTTTCAGCATGTTTAGTCTTTTATGTTTGTTTATCTCTACTTTCCATGGTACATTTGAACTGATTGTAGCTTCCATATGAAGGTTCTTGGGAAGTGTCAGTTGCAAGAGGCTGTCCAAGAGAAAGAAGAGGGATTAGACTCTTCAGGTACACTTCATGTTTTGCTGTTACAACTTTGTAGTGACGAATTCGTGTTTAAGTACTAATAGCTAGAAACAAATTATTATACAGTTGTTGAAGCTGGAGCAAACTGGAGCATGGGACAACGACAGCTATTCTGTTTGGGGCGTGCTCTTCTCAGGAGAAGTCGGATATTGGTGCTTGATGAAGCAACTGCGTCAATTGATAATGCAACTGATTTGATTTTGCAGAAAAGCATTAGGACAGAGTTTGCAGATTGTACGGTGATCACGGTAGCTCACAGGATACCAACTGTGATGGATTGCACCAAGGTTCTTGCCATCAGTGATGGTAAGGTTCACATTAACCCACTGCGAGTTTACTAGACTTAGTTTTTTAGCTTTGATGATACAAAATTAGGAAGATGTAAAATCTGAGGTGCTTGATCGCACATGTGAGTCATAGTCTTTAAAGAAAATAAAAGAGTGATTGTGATTTCAGGGAAACTGGTGGAGTATGATGAGCCAATGAAGTTGATAAAGAGAGAAGGATCACTGTTTGGGAAGCTTGTCAAGGAATATTGGTCTCATTTCCAGTCTGCTGAATCTCATTGGATCTGAACATGTATTTTACCGTAGTTCTTCTGTCTGTTTTCTATTGGATTGGCAAGAAAGCGTACTTAGAAGTAGGATGTCTAGTGTAAAATGTATTATATTTGGACGTACTCTGAGGTCTTGCATGTGGGAAGGATAAAACTTAATGTGCAAAAGGCACCCAAACTATTATAAAAAAGAAACAAATTCAATTAATTTTCTCCTTCGTCGATTTTTATCACAAAAGGTAACGTTTATTTAAAAATAGAAGATATTATAAAATTTCATTTTTGTTCCTACACTATCATTATGCAGGGGCAACACGAGAAGTGGCGAGTCATTTGTCCATATTATAAAATTCTAGAAGCTAGCTTTTATGCCAAAATATAAATTTGGAGAAATTGAAACTTTCATGTAGTTGAAAAGTACCTAGCACCAGGATTAATGAAGTAGAAAGAATTCTTTGAACAAAGGCCGCCGAGAGTCACAAATTATATTTAGGTTTTCCTATTTTATTGGTAGATCAAAGACCCAAATACTAAATTTTGTCCAACATAGGGTTTGGAAGAAATTTGAAAAGATGGAAGGAAAACTCATTATCATACAATATATATATATATATATATATATATATATATATGTGTGTGTGTGTATAATGTGATGTTCTTAAATTGTGAGTTATAAGCCTAATTCAACTCTATAAAATTAATTTATAAAATGTGCAAACTCTCATTTATATATATTTTGTTGGCCTTATCACTAGTCGATGTAGAATTTTTAACACACCTCTCTTGCGTCGAGGACTAAACATTTAACCCCTGTTTGCTTCCACTGATTTACTGTACACGATGAAGGAAAGGCGAAGATGGAAGGTGTTTGTTTCTAGCGAAATACGAAGAAAGAAAAGCGAGGAAAAGCGGGAGAGGTGTACGGAGGCTTCTTCGATAAACCGTGAAGAAAAGCGAAGAAAGCCACGTTGGCAAGGATTGAAAGATGTAAAAACCCTTCTGAAAATTACGTGCATAATCGATTATGCAGGGCACATAATCGATTATGTGGCAGCATAATCGATTATGCATGGCACATAATCGATTATGTGTCATACATAATCGATTATGTGCCATTTTTTTCGCTTCCAGGCTTGCCCAAAACGGGCCGTTCCAAAACTGGAACAGGCCGTTCCCAAATTGGAACGGGCCGTTCCAGAATAGTAAATTGGCTTAAAAACCCTAGTTGAGAACGGGCCGTTCCAATTTCTTAAAAATGCAACATGTTAAAAATTTCTTAATTTTTTAATTGGTAAAAATTAACTTCTAAAATTAAAAATTTCATTCTAATTTATGTTAATAATTTATTAATTTATTAATTAACTTTCAAAAAATTTATTATATATTTTTTTATATTAAGAAAATTCTATTATTTAAATATTGACATCAAAAAGTGAATAAAATAAAATAATGCATGCTTATAAAATTAAAATAATAACATTCATAAATATTAATAAAATAATGTTAAAAATTATAATTATCATAATATATTTTGTTATTATTATTTATTATTATAAATATTATTATTATTATCATTATTATTAATATTATTATTATTTATTATAATTAGTAGTAGTATTATTATTTATTATGATTCTTATTATTTTTCTAATATTTATTATTATTATTATTAACATTATTTATTATTTTTTTAATAAATTATACCTATTAATATAATTTTATTGTAATTATTATTATTTACAATAAATAATATTATACTCATTTTTAATTCAAGGGTAAAAGTGTAAATCACGTATTCATCTATTAAATTTTTAATTTTTATCTATCATTAAATTTAAAGCAAATATTTAAATTAAATTATTTTTAAATTAAGATTTTATATTTATTTTTTTAGTTAAATTTTTTATATTTATCTTTTAATTATAATAATTATAAACTTTTTTTAACCTAAGGGCAAAATAGTAATCTTACAAAATTATCAATTAAAAATTTATTTTTATCTATCACATCAATCAATTCACTCACAAACTTTCTCTACACTTTCCCTTAATCCAAACAACCTCACTTTCCCTTCAAATCCCTCCTTTTTCACTCCTCCTTTTCCATCCTCAAATCCAAACAAAGCCTTAGAGTGTAAAGTTTGTAAGTTTAATAATAACTTGAATGTCCCCCACTTATATATATAGGACTTTATCATTAGTTGATATGAGATTTCCAACGCACCTCCTTCATGTTGAGGACCGGACATCTTGTACGTGAAATTTGTATAAATCTGATAACAACTTGATAGAGAGTGATATGATAGGTTCAACAACAATCGTTAAGTAGGTTTTGATATCATATTAAGAAAGCAGATTAAGGCCTAACTCAACCTTATAAAATCAACTTGCAAGGCTTTAATACCTCTCTTGATAAATATATCTTCTCAAACAAAATTAAAAAAATAAAACATAACTCTAACAGTGGTATTAGAGTCGCTAGTTGAATTCAGTGACAACCAATAACTCATGATTATAAAAAAAAATGATATAATGATATTCAAAGACAAATCTCTTTGAATGAGAAATTAAATCCTTTGTTTGAGAAGAAGATTTTAGGGATACAAACAAGGTCTCATATTGTTAGAATAAGAAAAAAAATTATAAAATATATACATACTCCATTGGTAAAAATTCAAATTAAATAATATCTTACTATTATAAAATTGTACGTGCAAATATTCCAAATACCTTAAATAAAAAGATATAACTCTCTTGATATAAATATATTCTCTAAAAGACAAATAACACAGTCATAATCCTAATAGATTGTTCCTCATTTATATATATATA